TAGATGTGATATTCATATGGACGTTAATGGAAAAGAAAGATCATTTCTCGAAAGAATTAGTTTCAGAGAAAGCAGGCAAGATGTTTTTCTGTGTTAGGACCGATGTGAAATGGTTTCTGTCACCATTGTTTGGATTTGAAAATCTGCAGTGGATATAAACATTGGGCCGTAGTTTGTTAATCTCAACTAACGAAACCTCCATTACATCTTCCTTGATTGTTCTTGTTATTATGCTGTTTTGTGAACCTGTAGAAAACAAGTGCTTTTTATCTTGAAATTCAACAAATGGAAAGAATATGCATAGAATAATGCATTCTATGTAGCCATGTCACTGTGAATAACAATTTCTCGCATATTTAGCCATTTTGATTCCTGTTCGATTTTTTACTTCTCTGTTGCTACGCAAAACCGATCAAAGGAAAGTAACTTCAGTTTTACAATCTGTATGCCTAAAAGCGGGTACTACCGTTTATTTTACTGACTTGTTTAAATGATTCGCTTTTGTAAGAATCAGATGGCATTATGCTTGTTGTACAATGCCATATTGGTATATGACATAACAGGAAACAGTATTGTATGATATATTTATAAATACTATAAAGAAAATATTGTGTTTCATGCATTCAGAGATGGTTGTTAAAATTCTCCCAACTGGTTCGACCTTTGCAGATACCTATGTTTGAGCCTTATCAGCATAGAATATTTTTAACGTGGATATCTAATTCTAACTTCTGTTCCATTGGAAGCAATTGGCATTATTGTCATACGGATTTTTCTCTAGTAATACCTTTTACTTTTAAAATTGCTGCATTAAAGGAAAACTTTTCACTAAGGCATTTGGAAATGCTGTCATTTCCTGTTGCTTACCATGGTAATTAATGTGTTTTTAAAATGCATATTGATCACTGTAATTCTAAGACTGATTTTGAAATAAGCCAGATTGCTGGAGAAAGAAAATTTTTATCTAAAATTATTTTAATATGTGGCATAGTGGAAATCTCAAATTTAAGAATTGCTTTTACAATTATAAACAGTGGAATATACCCTCTCTGTAACGTCAGGAAATAGAAGCAATTTATTGTGAGCTTCTACAGGTATTAGTTTTTAAATAGAGTGAGCATGTTGAATTTAAAATATGAATATCCCCCCACCCCCAAATTTTCAGTTTGTGTTTTGCTTTGGTCGAACTTGGTGTGTGTTCATCACCCATCAGTTATTTGTGAGGGTGTTTATGAATATTGTTTCATGTTTGTATGGGAAAATTGTAGCTAAACATTTCATTGTCCCCCGTCTGCAAAAGAAGCACAATTCTATTGCTCTGTCTTGCTTATAGTCATTAAATCATTACTTTTACATATATTGCTGTTACTTCTGCATTCTTTAAATATACAGTAAAGTTTTATGAAACCACAAAATACATATATTTTTATTTTGACCTAAATTTGTACAGTCCCATTGTAAGTGTTGTTTCTAATTATAGATGTAAATTTAAATTTCATTTGTAATTGGAAAAAATCCAATAAAAAGGATATTCATTTAGAAAATAGCTAAGACTTTAATAAAAATTTGATATGAAAAGCACAATGTGCAGAAGTTTTGGAAACCCTGTTGTGGATTACACCAGGTAAAGGCTAAAGAACATCCATTGCTGTCTTAGTGATGTTGCTGAGAGTACATGCTTTGTTGTATAATTGCTTGAAAGCCCAATGGAAAGATGTAACTGTTTATTTACTTTATAATCTTTGAAGTAAAAGTTACTCATGTTTGCCAGTTTTGGTGAATTTAACTTATTTTTCTAGGCTTTTCTTCTCAAGTATTTCATGATGTTATCTAAGACAAGAAAAAAAAGTTAATGAAAGTTTCAAGTGATGTTTTTACTTCAGATATGACCATGTATATAAAAAATGAAAAAATATTTTCAAAGGCTAAAATCTTCAAGTGCTAGTGGACTGTCATTTGACTTAACACAAAACCAAGTCTTAGGACCAACACAGAACTCAAAAGACTTTACCTCTCAACTTTTTATGGATTTATTTTTTAATTTACTTAGTAAGATATCAGATACTGCATTTATAGCTCACCTAATGCTATTTTCTCATGCTTGAAACCATGTCCATTTATTTTGTTTGAAAGAGGAATTTTCCCCCAGTCAATGTGAAAATTGCTTAAGCTCTAAAGGCTATTTCAGCTAAAATTTGTCTTTAAATAAAACAGAAGAAAGATTACAATGTTTTTTATTCTGGATAACCAGCCATCAGGCTTGACAATTATGCTTTAAAACTTTTGCTAAAATGCCACTTAAAATTTCAACCTTACAAAAACCCATAGCTGCTAACTTTATAACTCTTTAGTAGTCAATGCAGGAAACAAGAAAAGTCGGCTGTTGCTTCTGAAAAGTATTCTGGGATTCTATACCACAAAGTTAGAGCTAAAAATACTCCACAGAAAACACCTAAATTGATTTCACAGATTTTAGCTTAAATGCAAAAAAAGAATGAGGCTGGCTCCTGTTGTGTAAATAGTGATCTATCTTGCTTTACACATGCATACCCCTTTACAAGTACTTTTTTGCTTTTAAAATTGCCGGCCGTTAATTGCTCTGAGTTGAAAAAAAAAAAAGTTGCCCTTCAGTTGACTTCACCTACCAACCATAGTGCTTCGTTTCCATATTCGTATGTGCAAATGTTAGGACCTCTGGAGGTACAATGCATCGGGCAGAGTAAGCTATTTGGGCTTTTCCTTCATCCTTTCCTCTTATTCTTTTCCCAATATTAGAGTTGCAGTTCACTTGTGGTCTCTTGGTACACTCACTGTATAGGCCTATCAAGTTTTGGTATGAAAAATTAATAGGAACGTAAAAAGAACCCATGTGAAATCCTACTTGCACTGGCCAAGGAGAAATGAAAATGTTTGGTTTTTTAAAAATAGCTTATGTTAATTAACCTTTAGAGGAGATAGGATTTTAATTTTAGAAACAATCTGCACATTGAATCTAGTCTCCTTTAGAATCCTGAGGTGAAGGAAGTGTTATTTTTGTCCACTTCTCTTTATATACTTCAAAAGTTTTAAAAATACATCTTTTTCTTCTGGGTATTCCATTGCCCTGGAATGACAGTTGGAAATTCTGATTTAGTTTAGTGCTTCATGAAATGGAGGATCCATGTTATTTTGAAATACAGTGATTGTTTCCTCCATACAATTTTACTCGCGTGTTATCCAAAACAAAAGGTCTTGATGAAATAACATTTTAAAGGGCCATTAAGAGAGAGAAAAAAAAAGTATATACCTTTAAGACTTGTAAGGTGTAAAGAGCACAGAACGCAGCTCCAAGGTAAGGCTGTTGGGTTAGACGAAGTCATTTCTTGAGGACGTTTCTTCAAGTATAAAATGAACAGTACAACAGGTGATTATTTCTAAGGTTGCTTTAAAAAAAAAAAAATCCTGATTCATCCAAGATAAACTGGGACCACAGAATTCAGATAGATGGGTCCTTTACAAGGAAGAGAAAGTATCACATAATAGAACCTCCCAGTAGATTAGACGTGGGAAATACCCCGCGAAGCCTTTCCATCGCCTTAAAAATCTCAAGATCGCCCAGTTTTGATTATGAAAGTCTCCGAAAATGTTTACACAGTCGAGTGTTTCCTGTTTCCGCAGTTAATTTTTTTTAACGTTTTTTTCTTCTTTTGGTTCTTGAAACGGATTTCCTTTATTTGCACCAGTTTCTTTTTCTGAGTGTGCAATTTCTAGAGGTCTCACATGAAGACTTCACCACCAACTTTATGTCTTCATCAAGTCGACGACATCAAAAGTCATTTATCACTGGAAAGGCTATTCCAGGATCGTTGGGAGTTTTCTCAAGAAGTTCCAGAGCATGTGGAAAACTCACGCGAAATCTCATTTAACCCTCTAGAGGAATAGTAAGCACTCAATAAAACTTCCAATGAACGAGTTAAATTACTTCCATTCTTCTGACTCTGCTCTTAAAATATCCTTTCCAGAGGCTATTACAAGGGACTTCCCCAAAATAGCAAATGATGTTCCCTCAGACTCACCTACATTTCAATGTTTTAAAAAAGTTATTCTTGCTGTTAGGGCGTCATAAACTCCAAACTTCAAAGTGAACCTGATTTCAAATTCGGTGCGGATTCGGCGCTCTCCAACCCTGTCCTTCTAAATTAGCTGGAACCCAACTGACCCTCGGAAGGCTGCGGACCAGGGTACTCCCGAGACGCGTAGAAAATTGGGTTGGGCGGAATGAGAAAATTACAGAGACGGATAAAGAGGTGACTGGAGTCAGCGACGTCGATCTAGGGGCTCCAGTCATAGGTCTAAGTGCCCCCGAGAGTGGAAATATTCAAAGAAAGCCGAAGACAGGAGCGCACGGCGCGGCTTGGAACATAAAGCGGGGGCAAGGGTAATTAGGCTGGAAAGAGCAACTGCTTTAAAAAAGAAAGAAAAGGGAAGAAAAAGGCTTCTTCTGTTCAGGTATCGGATGGAAAGGGCATAGGACGCCCGCCTGGAGAAAATGACCTTCCTTTCCCGGTAAATGACCTGCCTTCCCAATTAGGGAGCATTCACCGAAAGGACGGGTTAAAGAGGAAACGACCCTTCTCCCCGCTTTATTTTTTAACTAGCAGCATTCCGAGGACTGCAAAGAGCTGCAGCCCAGCCCTCCGCCTGGGATCGCGCCGTGGGGTTCGGCCCGGCCCGGCTCGCGAGCCCAGGCCGCGGGGCACCGGGAGGCCATTTTGCGCGTGCGCCGCTCGCCTCGCGCTGCTCTCAGCTCCGCGGACTCAGCTCCCGCCAATTTTGAAAGCTAGATTCTCAGGCCCTAGCAGGCTGGGGAGGAGGGGAAACGAAGTCGTTTCTCCAAGTCCGGACGCCTTGGCGAGCCGCGGCGACAGCCGGGTGCGTGCGACCTCACAAGGCGCCCCCCGTCCGGCCGAAGCTTTTCCACCGGGCGGGACACCGAGGCGCGGCAACTGGCCCCCTGTCCTATGTCCCCGGGAGGCGGCGGCTTCGCGTGCAAAGCCCTCAGAAGCGCATCCTTACGGGGGCCATTCCAGATCATCGTCTCGCTTTGCCCTCCTCTCTGTGGCTGCTTCAATCCCTATCCTCTTGCCCCTTCAATAACAAGGTGTCCTTGGAGTTTGGGGTTTTGTTGGGGAAAAATTGTAAGCCAAATTATTAATCAATATAAAACTGCCATCCTGGGGGTTCCTAAAGGCTGAGCTTCGTGGACTGGAAAGGCCGATGGGAGAGACTTTTAACCCTCTTAACAGGTTGAACTTGTCTAATAGGTGGAACGGGCTCTAATACCCTGGGAAGGAAACTTGACCAGGTGATAGTGTCGAGGAAGTGAGTGGCCGCGCGACAGGAATCTCAAGATCTGGGCGAAGGACCACACTTTGGGACCCAAAGGCGACGCCTAGGTCTCCGGCCAGGGCAAAACTGGAAGGTCCGGCGGCCTTGAAACCCCGGCGGGGCAGAGGATCGGGCGGTTGGAGGTTAGGACGTCGCTTCTGACAGCCACCAGGACGCAGTGGTTTCCTGCGGAGTCCGCGCCTGCCTGATTCCCCGGGGGCAGAAACGCTATTCTGGCCCAGGACTCCCACGTGCGCCCAAAAACCGGGAGCGAGAGGGACGGCTTGGGAGAGGGGTAGGGGTAACTGCAGAAAAGTGAAAGCGGCCTAAAATGGGCGACACCCGGAGAGTCCTCTTTATCGGCGCAGACTGCAGGGGCCGCCATTTGGTGGCGGATTTCGGTATTTCTGTAGCACGTTGTGCTGAACTTCACAACTGGCTGGTCTACGTGGCACGGTCGTTTCGGAACCGCAGTTCGGAACCGCAGTTCTTAAAGATGCAAATTTCCCCTCCCCCACCCCCGCCAGTCTCCAGGGATCCGCGTCCCTCCCCCACCCCCGGTGGAGGGCGCGGCGGCTCCACTCCGCCTCGACCCGGGGCGGGGACCTTTCCTCGGGGCTCCACTGGCCTCCATGAATGCCCAAGGGCTAGTATGATGAGGGGTGGCGCCTAGCGTAGGACTAACGAGTATTTTCCTCCCCGTTTTCCCCGAGATTGCGAGCCCGAAGCTTTCTCCCCCGAGGAGAGTCTCATTTCCTTGGCGGGCGGTGATGGGCATTGTCTTTTTTTGCAGGGACCGCATCCCAGCCCTGGGCTCTCCGCCTCACACCTCTTGGAAGCAAGGAAGAGAGAGGCGGGCCAGGCCTGGCGGGAAGCGACGCACCCGACGAGAGGCTGCTCCTCCCTAAGTGTAGGGTTAGCCTCCCGGACTCGCGATTACAGCTCGGCCCGGCGCCCTCCGGAGACACAGGGGAGATAAACACCTCTCCGGAGTCTCAGGACGTCGGCAGGCGTCACCCTGGGTCACCCTGTCTTCGAGGATCTCCATGAAAAGCCCCCAAAACGCGAGGTGCTTATCGAGTGGAGAACAAAGGGCCGAGGGGCGAGCGCGAGGCGAGTCCGCGCGCGGTTGTCCTTGGCTGCGCCCAGCTCGGAGGCGGGGGTCGCCGGCAGTGCGGACTCCGAGCCCGAAAAGGAGGCGGCGGGCGCGCTGGGAAGTCCGCGGCCCCCGCCTACCCCAGCGGACTGGAAGAGCCCCCAGTCTTCGAGTCAGGGCTGCCATGTTGCAGTCGCGGAGGACACTAGTGATTTGACGCTTCCGAGGCAGCGACACCCCCGACCCGAGAGCTCTTTGGGGCAGCCCTACGAGCGTCACAGCCCGAAGGGATCGCGGGTCGCGGGTAAGAACCCGATCCCGGCGGGCTGCGGAGCCGGCACGGCCGCGGCGCCGCCGCTTCCCCTCGCCACCTTCCTTCCAGGGGCTTGCGGGGCTGCGCGCTCGGCAGAGGCTCGGTTGCCAGTAGCAACCACACGACGGCGGTTTGCAGCCAAGGCTGCAGCCGCCGGTACAGCCGCCGCCGCTTCGTACATCTCGGTGTCTAGCATTCAGAACCCTGGGGGTTGCCCTCGCTGACATCTCTCGCCCCCTCCCCGGGGTCCTCATCCTCCAGGACCCTCAACTCCGCTCGAAAGCAAGCTCCCCTGGCTCGGCCCTGCCCCCACGGCAGACAATAGACAAATAGGCTCGGAGCACACTGCTGTGCGGGCTGAGCCGGCACCTGAGCCCCCAGGATCCTTGCGCTCGGCTTCGTCCCAGCCCCAGGTGCCCTTGTCTCCAACTTGAGCCCAAATTCTTTGTCAATGGCCAGTCCATTAAGAAGCCTTTCTCGACATCAGTAGTAAGGATAGTGGTAAAGAAAGAAGTCAAGACAAGACGCCCATTCCCGTTTTAGTTAACACGGACACAAAGAGCTTTGGGTTGTGTCTGGTCTTGGTAGCGGTGGCTTTCCTCTGGGTTAGAGCCACAGGCAAACCGTACCGTCTTCTCTCTTCTTTGTCTACCAGAATATTTTGCATGAAATTCATAATATAACTTTCAGACATTACCTCCAGATACTTTTACAGAAGTGGATGGAGCACTTTTTCCCTCCTTCATTCAATTTGATGAACCACACCAGCCCTTGGTTGAGGACTGAGTGGTCTGATGCTTAAAAAAAATAATTGACATTAACCCTTAGGAATCTTTCTGCCTTTTTAAATATCTGTGGCTCTAGGACATTGATTTAATTTTTTTTAAAGAGCTCTTGTTAATGTTTTAAATAGGTTTTTATTGAAGAAAAATCTTCAGAGTATCCAACACAATCTCTTGATTAAGCTAGTAGGATAACCCAGGAAATAGGTGCGTTGCCAAATTTCATTGCTTTTACCAAATGTCCCAGTTTTAAAAAGCCATTAAGTTAGTGGAGTGTTCTTCCTAGATTGACATTTAATGTAAGTCACAGATGTGCTGAAATTAAATTTAAAGCTCCTTGAGGACAAGCACCTATCCTATTTATCTTTGTATGCTCCAGGGTCCTTCTAACATAACTCAACAAATATTTACTGAATTTCCAGAGGATTCCTGAAGTTCAACAACCCTTATGAGAAATAAAACTTACTAACAGCTACTATAAAGCTTGGGTATCTTTCATGGGCTCAATGAAAAGATGAACATTTTCCAATGAAAAGGTAAACACTTCCCAACCTAGTGGTACTAATCAGATATCCTCACTCATGCATATTTTTTTACCTAATTATATTTCAAATGTGGTGATTGTATTAAAAAAATATCTGACAGATGTTTCCAGAATTCTAAGAATGACAAGAACTTGCAACTTTGCTATTTTCCCACCAAAGGTGTCTGGAAATTGGTTAAATAGGCATAAGAGGATATTTTAAAGTGAGTTTCATACGGGACAGGCATGGCATTAACTGTCTTCACAGTTCATCAGGAACTCTTTAAGGGGCTAGTATTGGATACTGCAAATCTACTAAGACAATGCACAGTGAAATAGCCTGTTTAACTTAATCTTTAAAATGTACTGAAAATAGTTAATATGTCTTAATCATACCTGATGGTAAACTCAAATCAACGTGTCTCCTAAAATGCCTCTTAGGTATGTTATCAGAGGTTCACCTTTAAGCTTCAGAAAATGTCAAGTTCATGATATCAGACAGTTGACTTCAAAGAAGAAAGTTAACACTACTTGATTCCTAGAGACAACATGATGACCTGTAGCTTGCCCAAACACCCCCACCCCCACCTGAAAAATAGGAAAGCAAGGCTTTAGTGAAAAGTTCCTTTCTAGGTCTTTCAAGAAAGAAAAGCTCCAACAACTTGCTTTGGACCAAGTTAAAGAGATTATCTCCCTTTTTCATTATGACTGTGTCTTTCAAAGAATTGAAGGATAAGATCAAAGTGCATTCATATTCATGTGAATTATCGCTATTGACTTGAATAATGATGGATTTCATTGTTTTATTTAAACTGAAACCAGAAATGCTGCTGCTTTTGAGTCTACACCCCCTAAGGCTGTAGAATTTCTTCTGAGGACTCAAAAGCTAAGCAATTAGGTCTGACAACCACGTCATTTCCATAATGTACTTCTGCACAGAGGACTTTTTATTGGAACTGGTTACATTTCTATAGAATCCTACCATGCAATTTTTGACTCCTTTTCAGCCTTCTGAACAAAACTCCTAAGTTCAATAAACACTCATCCAAAATACTTAAGTATAAATGGTACTGGGGAAATTGAGTGATGTTTAGAAAACATCTAGCTGTTCCTGAATCAGAAAATTAATGTTATCAGTAATTAACTCAGGAGAGTGCTTTCCCTTTGAACATGATTTATTACAGTTTGTTTTCTAGTGTAACTGAAGAAGTTAGAGTAAGCTTGGGAAAATGTGTTTTCCAGCTGTTTCTTTCTAAATATGCCTCATGACAGCTATCTTAAAATATTTTCATTTGGATTCTCTTTAAACTATCCCATCATTTTCTAGTGAGAAAGAGGCTACCAGATCCAAGGGACCCCACTCCCTTTTACCAAATAATCATGCTCCTCAAGTTAGTCACCAATAAAAATGATCACTTTGGAGAAGACATCTAAGGAAATTCATTAGAATAAAGTAAGTTTACAACAGAATAATACAGGCAACCTTTAAAATAGGCTTAAGGAAATGCTTTTTCAAGAACTTTAATACACACAATTTGTATAGGCTCTCTAAACTTAAAGACAGACCTTAGTGCAACCAATTCTATTATATTATGATAATCTGCAATGGGTTCTGAGAATACCCTTTCCAAGAAAGAAAACTGATATCTTAATTGGTATCACTGTTAAATGTTTGCCATACAGCTAAAGCAAATGCATAAGCATCACATTTTAAAAAATCAGTTTTTTAATCCAGTTGTGCTACAAGAAGTATCTATCTTAATTTGTCTCCATTTGGTGTCCTTAGTATTGCAAAGCATTCTCCAAGGCAAAAGTGTCTTAGTAAATTTGATTCTTTGGAATTTGACCATCAATACACCGACATTACAAACTTTGTAAACTTCCAAGACCGTCACCCTTCACTTAAAATCAAAATGATAGGCAATTATTATTTCACGGGGGGGGGGGGGAATCACTTCTTGAATAAACAGTGTTTCTTTACAATTCATTTCCTGTCTCACTAAGGGGAAATGCATTAGCATTTTCTTTATATAGGTAGTCATTAATTTTTTCTTATGTCCATATAAGAACCTTTATTCTTCGCTTTAAAAAATAAATATGAGGTAACACTGAAATACGAGGTAAAGTAGTTCAGCTTTAGCCATACTCAGGTGTTTCCTCTGAAATGTATATTTTTTAAAAAGATGACAGAAGTTGCATAGCTTGCTTGGACTAAGGAGGATGCAAATCATCGCGCAGTATTTCCACTGAAAGAATGGGAAATGTGCCACTGAGACTTCCAAGTCTAGCCTACATTTAGCGGAGCTACCTCTCGGCTCTGATAATCTGTGGGAGGAACCGAAGGACCGGGTGGATAGACAGCCTGGGCTATTTTTGTGAAATCAGAAACCCTGAACACCTTCTCTTTGTCCTTTTGCACTATTTCCTAGGAATCAGAGCATACAGTTATTTTCTGTGTAATCAATGAGCAAGAAATTTTGGCTTGGGATTTGATGTAGCGAAATGACGTCAAAAAATTTTTTTAAGGCTTGCACATGCGCAGTAAGACCCTTTTTTTTTTTTTTAAAGTAAGCTTTGGGCTCTTAACCCCCACTTCGGGATCCGGCCCCCACCGCAGGGTCTAGGAAGCTGGCCGATCTAAGGCGGTGTAGGATTCCCACACTCCACTCCGGGCAAAGAAATTAGATTCCCCCCTCTCCAGCCAACCGGGCTCTCTTTTTTAAGTCCCGGCAGGAGAAAGTCAAGGGGAAGCAGGGCCGACCTGAGCGGCCGCCGCTAGCTTTTCTGGCTGCGCAGCGCTGCGGGGCCTCTGCTCCCGGGGTTCCAGCCTCCGCCTACACCGGGCTAGCCCCTGTGAGTTGGCCGCACCACTCTGGGGCCCACGGGTCAGCCGCGCCGTGGGGAGGCTCGCGCTGGGACTCCTCCGCGAGAGCCCGCGCAGCGCTGCGGTGCTTGCTGGAGGCCTGGCTGGGGGAAGCAAAGCGAAAGGACTCCGGACTTCTTCATCTTTCAACCCGCCCCCAGCAGACGCCGGCGGCGACATCTACGGCCCTTCTCCCTTCTGATCCCTCCCCAGGCCGGCGGCCCGCGGGGCCACGAGTCAGTCGGAACCGGGACCTGCCCTCTAGCTCGCCTCCGTAGGCCCCGCGGGAGGGGCGCCGCCGGTGCGGACCCTGCGCCGCGCTTCCGCACTCGAGCCCTCGGGCCGCACGCCCCCGCCTTTTCCACTCAACGGCTCTCCCGGCCTTGCCGCCCCCACACCCCCTTTTCGGCCCATCCCAGCAACCCACGGCAGGGGCCTCGCGGGTTTCTGATTCAGACGACGGCCTGACCCCAACCGATTCACGCGCCCTCTCCCCGGTTTAGAATCGCGCGGAGTCCGCGGAGATGCCCGTTGGGAGTTTGAGAAACTTTGGCCTAAAGGAAAAGCCGAGGACATCTGTGGAGCATTGTCATCCCTTCCCCTGGGGCCCCGACACCCACTGTCCACAATGAACGCAGTCGCCTGCCAGGGCCAGCGCCGTCGAGCCGGGCATCCCGCGCCCATTGCGCGCGGACACCCGCCAGCACCCAGCCTTGCGGCGTCGGTCCAGAACCTTCCCCGTGCGGCGGGCCTGACAGGACCGCACCTGAGGGAGGAGTGACCGCATCTCATGGGTCTTGGCCCAGACGCGGGCTTGGTGAGGCTCCAGGGCTTTTGTGTGTTTTTTTCCCTTTGTGGCATCTTCCATATTTTGTCTCTGGCGTCCTGTACTAATAAAAAGATGGAAAAGGAATAGTACCGACCTTGCTTGAGATGAGTCCAACAACACCAAGATTTTAAGGGCGGGGGGGTCTGAGGAGTGCTGAGAAGGAGTGGCCGACAGACATCAAAGGCAAGGCGCCTAGAGGGTATCAGGTGGTGCCGGGCTTGGGTACAGTCTTAAAGGAAAACCCACATAAGTCTTTAAAAGAAGATATTCACGTAACACACACACACATCAAGCAGCAATAATTTGTCTTTTGTGCGGTGTCTCATTGCCTTTGAAAGTGTGACGCTGTATGTCAAATGTTAGCGTCATCAATTTCATCACTTTGTGCTATATGGTGATTTTGGAGGTGAATTTATTCGTGTGTAGAATTTCCCCCTAATGATGGTTTACTTTGGTAGTGGAAAAGCTGAGTTCAATCTCAGCATCCATTGAATTACTGGAAAAGGAAGCCATTACAGGCATATCTTTAGAACTCTGGGGCCAGCAAAATCTGTCAAATATTTAAACATTTTATTGGCCTTAATATAAAGAAACGTGAAAACTTTAAAGTTTAAAATATAAGGAGTTGCCTTTAAAAGGCTTGAAAAGCAAATGATAGGAAACAAGACATAAACACAACACCTGCATAGAAATGTTAATCTTCCCATCTTGGATGGTAGTGTCCGAGTCTCTTCTGCTTTGCTGACCAACTTGATGGCACAACTGGTTGGTCTGCTGAAACCCAAACGTAAACTCCTGAGGTTTTTTCCTCAAAAGAGGAGCAGAGCAACATTTAAGATGTCATATGTTTCATCATGACAGATAATATTTTGAGAAAACTAACTTGGTTATGGGGTATGTAATACCTTTATTTTTCATTCAAGTATGTATATATGGAGTTATTAATTTTAGATTTTACGTGGCAAAATGATTGTTGTATTCTTATAACTTGAAAAATTACATGCAATTGCCAAATGAATGCATATTAAGTACTGCCATTGTGTTTTTAATTTCTGGGGGTGTGGGGGGGGGGTTGGAAAGGCGATTTCATATCTAGGTAAAAGCCAGCTAATTTTTCTTAAAAACAAGACACCTTTTATTAAAGTGATATTTTAGATATTCCCCCCTTTTCCCCTATGTCATCCTAAATCCCTCTTCTTTCTTACCAAAGTACTTACAGCACTGAGTGCAATTATAGTCCTTAAAACGGGGCAGGCTGCAGTATATGCTTGTTTAATGAATTAAACTTTCTTCAGATGTCTTTATCTCCCACTAGATTTCATGTCCTAGAAGACAGGTACATTCTGTTATTTGTAGTGTGTGGTACACACTGATATTTAATGTTTTTGGCTTGGGAGAGAAATATATATATACACTTGATTTATCTAGAAGCAGTTTACAAAATGTGGATATTATATCAAATTAACATCTAATTAGCACATACAAAGCTTTAACTTTAAAAATTCATCTAGAAACTGAAAAAAGAACATGTCTGTTAAAATTAGTAAAATTTCTTCTAGGCATGTGTAGAATATATTCCCATGATAATGGGTTTTTCTGAATCCCAAAGCAGATTTTTAAAGAGAAACAGCAGGATTTTTAAACTGGCTTTAGAATGTTGTCTTTTTTGAATCTCATTTTCATAAAAAGAGAAATTAGATGAAAAAATGATTTTGAAATTACATGTGATAGCTTTATACAAAAGGGGCTAAAGTTTTCCACACAAATCTTTCATGGAAACATTTTTGCAAGTTAATTCAGATAATATGTTTCATTCTCAATCAAATATATAGCTTACTGTGTCAAGTACATTGTAGATCTGTATTTAAAGTCACCAGGTACTTTTAGAAGAGTAATCTTAATAGCACCTTTTCTTTTTTTAAAATCGAAATATCCCTTTGAATAGTTTTCTTTCTCACTACTTAACTGTTAGAGGTGTGTATGTCATCTTGGGGCATACAATTATCATTGTAAAACAGAATGGTATTTTATTTTAAAGTTTAGTAAGTTCAGAAGTGGGTCAGAAATTATACTTCTGTCAGTAAAAGTAATCTTCCACTTTTGCCATATCTTACATTTGAATTACTAACAATTCTTTTCTGTTTTATGATTAATCTATGTTACATTTTTCCATTTACTTTTAAAGACTTCTAAAAAGCTAGAATAAAGAGCAAAGATCTAGTTTCTTTAATTTGTCCAATTTCAGATATAAAGTAAGAATTCTATATTGCATTTTATCAGGAACAATACAGTTTAAACCACAGACACTGTTAATGACAAATACTCAGAATCTATAGTGAAAATAATTTATACTCCATTTAACTTAAGTTTTCAAACTTTGAAGTGTTCCACAGATAGACTGTCATGTTTACAGGTTTAGACTTTTTTTTTTTTTCCCCACTATTGGGCTCTTAACGCTTTTAAAGTGGAAAATACACAGTAAAAACAATGACTAAAAATGGCAGCTGTAGTCGCTTAGGAGTTCGAATTGTTAAAGGACTGAAACCAAACATAGAACCTTTTAGTTTTAAGGGGATTTTTTTTTCATAATGCAACAAGGAACTGAAAATAAAATTACAATGAAGGTTTATTTGCTATTTTAATTATTTGTCCAATCTGTCCCCCTCCCATCTCTAAATTAGTACACACCAAAACTTTAATTTTAAAAGACCTGTTTCCTTAGGGAAATATGGGAATCACTGTTAGACTTTACGTTTTAGGGTTAAGTAAAGGGATTGTGGGTATTACTGGCTTCAGAACTTCGAAGCAAAAGACATGCACCTGTTCTGGGGGTAGCAGGGATCCCAATGAACATACTTCTTCTTCTGATTGCTGGTCCATTCCACAACTATTTGAGGCTTCAGAAAATACCAAGACTTCATCAGAGAGCTCAAGTCAGAGTGAGATTTCAAAGATTATTATATAGGACTTATCCCAAATATGAGAACCAGCTAAATTTGCATGTTTCCTTCTATTAAAGAAGAGACATCAAGAGGTTTCCTGTCTTGGCACTACTCAGCAGCAGCTGTGACTATCCCCTTGACATCTGGCGAGATTGTAGTTTCTGATGGAGGAACATTTAAAGTTGACACCTGTCATTGAAACATTTGGTATACAGTTTTCAGACCAGCTAGAAACCAGTGACAGACTACCTAACTTTTGTTAAAAGAAACTGGGTAAGAAAGTTATGTCAGCTAGAGAAGTCTGATTATGATAGTTTGAATCAAGACTTTCCAGGTAAAGATTCTCTCTCCTTTTCTTTTGGAAACGTCCTTCAGCAACAAATGAAGTCTACATTTAAAAGACAAAATGTTTTAAAAAATCTCATAAAAATGAGGAAGCAGCAAAATTGGTCGTAATTTGGAAAAGTCATGGAAGATAGGACGTTTATGATATTGTTTGTCTGCTTTTCTCATTGAATTTTTAGGACTGCTAATTAAATGCTTTCAATACATTATAATTAGGTGTATGAACCTAGGTATCCTGACCCTCTAAGAATCCTCAAACCTGAAATGGCCAGTATATAAAAGCTGGACTAAAGGGGAAAATATTTGACTTGAAGGCAGCACTGACAGTAATGTATTTATCAGATAACACAGTGTCATATGTGAGATTTCTCTCGACTGTCGAAGCCCAGGCGACGCCATCGCGGCAGTTTGCTCGTCTCGCCGCACTAGGATCGAGTTCCCTTGGCGCATGGGGCTCCCTCTCGCCCCGCTGCAGTCAAGTTTGGGTTCGGTTTGTGAAGTTCTGTGACCTCCTGGCGGACGCCTGTGCCCACAAGGTGTGACCCTCGACGGCGCACGGCTCCCGCGGCGGCCGGGCGAGCTCCGCGCGTCCAGGGAGCCGCGCAGCCGGAGTTCCCCACCTGCGACCGCCGGCCGCGCAGGGCGCCCAGGCACCGCGCCGTGACGTCACGCTGGGGACTGCGGTTGCCGCGAGAAGGCCGCGTTCCGGTTCCGGCAGGTTGCCCGGGAGACGCGGGTACACAGAGAGAGCCGCTGCCGTCGGAGGCCGAGCTGTAGCCGCGGTTGCCCGCTCCGTAGACTCGCAGGCCCGGCGCTGTCGAGTCCGGCGCTGACGAGCCGGTGACGAGCGCAGAGACGCGGGCGCCATGAGTCAGAGGCAGGTGCTGCAAGGTAGGCCCGGGCGCCCCGACGGGGGAGGGAGGACGGCGGAGCCCAAGGGCCGCGCGAGGCGCCCTCCACCCTTTGCCTCTCCCCGCAGTGTTCGAGCAGTACCAGAAAGCCCGGACCCAGTTCGTCCAGATGGTGGCGGAGCTGGCGACCAGACCCCAGAACATCGAGACGCTGCAGAACGCGGGTGAGCCCTCAGTCTGCATCCGCGTCGCTACTCACGCGGGTCCTGTCTCCCTTGCAGCCCCGTCCTCTCCCCAAACCTCCATTCCTAGTTGCCCCAGGCCCTCCTCTCAGCTTCGCCCCTCACCCCATATCCCCAGTCCCTTCGTCGCCCAGTGTCCCCTGACCTCGCCTCAAGTCCCCGTCTCCCCGCTCCCTCACTGGCTGGGCTGTCGCGGAGCTGCAGGGTGGGGACGGAGGATGGCGTCCCTAAGTTCCTCCAGTCCAGCGCGGAGGCGGTAGAAGTGTTCGGTCTCTTTCGCGGATCTTTGCGGGTCAAGTTTCCGGATGGGTATGAGAGGGGCCAGGCATTCCTATTTCCATCTTTATCGCAACTAGGCAAATGTCAGATTGAAAGTCAAGACCGTACGAATTGCCTGGAAGTCACTTTATGTGAACGTGAATCTACCCTAATCAGCCCCATTTTCCCGGATGCCCTGCCTTTGATCACCTTCGACTTGACTTTCTCACACCAAAGGAATTCCAGAGCGGTTGATAACGTTATTTCTCGCCTTGTGTTGGTGAAAGAGTAAAGAAAGATATGCTTGAATATTTTCCCAAGAGATTCCAAGTAGGCAGAGACCTAGCTTTGAGAAATCTCTAGTGATGCTCGTATTCCATGTCTTGGTCCGAACTTACGTAGATTCTACAGGCAGAGGAAGAATGTGTGTGCTATGTGTGTGATTTTCTCCTTACCTTTTCACATAATGGTGGTCCCTTCTCTCTCTCTCTCCATCCTCTGTGTCTGATTAAGGATGATTCCACCACCACCTGAAGGTAGCATTTTATTGCTGCTGTGTCATGAGAAACCTTCAATTTATGGGTTATGATCTTTAAAACTCATTTAAGTTAACATGGAATTAGAACAGAAGTAAGAACATATTTCCAGGGCAAGAATTTTAGACACACTGTTTACTCTGAGTTTCTTTGAGGGGAATTAGTACTACACTAGTTGGCAATTTCTGTTGTCACTGGGAGGGATTCTGGTGCTTATTCATTGCATGCTTTTATGGGGGGGGGGTGGAGGAGTGTAGTTAGAATAGGGAAAGTGTATTTTATAATCACTTTAAAAAGCTATTAATTTTGAGGTAAGTGTACATTCACATGCAGTGGTAAGAAATAATACAGAGAACTCAGTTGCCTCAAAACTGTAGTGTGATCCAGGATATTGGCATTGATAACAATCCATCAGGTTTGGGGGTTTTTTTTTAGTTTTCCCTAGTTTTCCTTGTACTAGTGTGTGTATGTGTGTGTTTAGGTCTATATAATTTTATACTGTATGTATCCATCACCATTATAGTCAGAGATTATCACCACAGGATCTCTTACCTCCCCCTTTTCCCTAACTTTGGGCACCCACTCATCCCTTCTCCGTTTTGAAGTTTTCAAAGTTGATAATCTTTCATTCTACAGTTGTTTCACGTGGATTCATTTCCTTTCTTCTGCATGTGTATATGTGTGCTTGTGTGTACACACATATATCCCTCAAAGTTTCCAGCACAGTGCTGGACATACAGTGTTTCATATACACTGACTATGTTAACTTTATTAGAGCATGTTACCTTTTTTGAACACACTTTTTTGAGGGAATTTTTTTTCCTTCCAGTCCTACTTTTGCTATTTACAAATATTTGATTTTTTGGACAGTATGTTGTATACATACTGTTTAGCTGTATGCTAAACAAAAATGTGATTTCTTAAAAAGGGAAAATGATTGACATTATTTTAGAAATTTGATAGCTGAAATATAGATTGTACAGATAACTATTAAGATGCAGAATATCATGTTTAATGTAAGTGACAGATTATCTCTTCCCACAAGTATACACTATAGAATATATTATGGAATTTAATCAATACAAACAGGCTAAGTCATCACCAAAGTATAAGTGACTTAGATATGACATTCTTAAATAGCCACCTATTTCACTTACAGTCTGACTTAGGAAAGAATGAAATACAAAAGTAATATAGCTTAACAGTTTGAACTGATCTCCACTTGGTGAGAGCCTGTGATGGTTAATTTTATGTCAACTTGACTGGACCTTAAGATCTCCAGACAGTTGGCTAAACAGTATTTCTAGGAGTGTCTAGGATGTCTAGGATGGAATGGTAAGATTTTTCTTTCCCCTGAGAAACTTATTTTCACATACTTCATGTTATCTAAATTCAACTTAAGCACCCCTTTAATAACTTTACATAGAGACAGATAATGAAGGTTCCAATAGATTTATCCTTTTAATATAAAAAAACCCTGTAAGCTTTGTTATGAAAACTGCTCTTATTAGTCATTTAAACATTAAAGTGGTTTCCTTTTCAAAAATCACTATGGATTTAAGATGCGTCTGAATTAGCCACAATATGTGTACATAAATTACATATTTTGATCAATTCTTTTCCAGTCAAGTGAATTCATTTTGGTAACATAAGATACTAGTACATTTTATTCCTGACTTTGATATACAGTCTTTGTACCTGGGAGAGTTTTGTTTTCTCACTTTTCTCTCTTAATAAACTGTTTAAATAAACATGTATCAGGGGTCCAAAATAATGTGAAAAGAAGTTTCCATACAGACATCATGATAAATTAGTAGTTCACTTGTTAAGAATTTTTAAATCCATTGACTATGAAAGGAACCTTACTTAAAGGTGAAAATTATCGATGAAGTTTTATTTCATTTAAAAATCTCTGATCTTTTTCATTGTGTTTTTGATGTGTCAGTGAGAGAATTTGCTCTATTAATTATGTCCAAAGTAATTTTAAAACACAGTGTTGCAAGATATCTTCTTCAGAGTATTTGGACAAAAATAGGTTTGACTTGCTATAAAAACTGTGTACGGTGTGTCTGTAACCTGCATTTTTTTCCTCTTTGAGATTTTGTTCTTTCCAAATCAAAAGAACATACATGAAAACATTAAAAAGTTTGTTATAAAATCTCATTATGCACCTTCAAACCCTATATGTCTGAGCCCTTAAATCTTACAGGTATTTAAAAATGAATTTGAATACTTTCCCTCTTTGAATAATTAGTAACACTTGACTGCAGTGCTAGAGATAATACATAGTAACTTGTACCAGTTGTAGAATTTCAGCATTTGGAAGTGGTTGTTTAATTATAAAATAAGAGAAAGATGTTTTATGGTATACTGGAGTGCCAGGCCACTCTTTGGTTGTTTAGAAGGTCTTTTAAAATAAGCTAATGAAAGACCCAAGAACTTGATTTTTAAACTGCTTAGCTACATTAAATAAACTTCTTCTGAAGCAGCTATTTATATAAGAAAAGTAAGGGTAAAGTTTAAAATAATACTTTGTAATATTTTGCTTATAACCTATACCCAAATGGTAAACATGGCAAATCAAAAGTTATGCATATTTTTGAAAGAGTAGGAATAGAAAAGTTTGCCTAACACTTTAAATATGCACCTGCATGAAGCGAATTTACAAATTGAGGCAATTTATTTGGTTCATAATTCAAGATAATAAGTAATGCATGTTGACATAAAATTTTAAATTACATGTGTCTGGCACAGGGTGAAAATCTTCAGATTAATGATCTAGCACTTCGGTTTCTATGAGAAGGAAAAGCCTGTAGCTGGCATTTATGATGTATTGAAAACACATCCTGGTAGATAGAAGAAGCATGAGTCTCCTACAAAAACTACTTTTCTAAAGGATTTTAGAACCGAAAAAATAATTAGTAAAGCAACTTCAAAAAACTTAATGAAAAAAAACCAAAAAACAAAACTTAATGAGTTATGCTCTTTAAATTTGATGTTTTTCCAATATAAAAGGAACCTTATAGTTCTGAATGTATGATAATTACAGCACTTTTTATTAATGACAGAGGGAGTGTTTTTCTTTTTTTGAGGATAGAGATAGAGTTTTTTTTTTTAAAGGATAGTGATAGAGGTTTTTAATTTTTTTCTTTTTACATATACTTAAGTGGAAAATATTCCAGGGAACTATAAAAATTCTGAATTTGTATGCACCTAGTATGTCCTATAAACAAGATTTTTCAGAGTTTTATTGTGTGTCCCAAATCATTGTTCCTATGTGGACATTTCCTGTTTTGATGTCTAAGCATTGGTACATAAGTAGAAAATAATACAACCAGGACTAGAATTTCACTGTTTTCCTAGGAAAAGCTGGATGACTGAAAAAAAAAAAAATCCAAGCGGTACATGAACCTGAAAGAGTAGGTTCTTGAAATGGCAAATTGTTGTGGGTTAAATTTTAATGTCACAGATTAAATGGCTTTGAAAAGTTATCTCAGTGTTTTCTAAAAACACTTTACATTTGAATGTTTTTTCAAGGCCTTTGCTCCTCTGACTAGAACCTTTTCCTACACCTTTTTGCCCAGTTAATTCCTGCTCATTCTTTATAGCTCTATTTAGATGTTGAGGAAGGGAGACCTTCCTCAAGCCCTTCCAGTGAGTTGTCTCTTATGTTTCCCTGATTCTAACATTTCTCTTTCATAGTCATCACAATTGTAATAGTTTAATTTCTGCTTTCTCTACTAACTGTTAAGTTCTATGCTTAACATAATGCTTAGTTTACCATAGAGCAAATGTTCAACATGTTTAAAGAGGATGAAGGAAGGAGTAATTATTTTTCTAAGTGTTTTCATATCTCTTAGATTAGATTCTTATAACAGCTCAGGTGAGTAGAGTAGGTATCGTCTTCACTGTGGTTAAATCTCAAAGAAGTCTGGATAATTGCCCTCATCTCTAAGTGAGTTAGTGGCTGAACTGGGACTAGGACCTGTTTCCCTATTGCTAGCTGACTTTGTGCTCTTCCTGTGTTACCTGAGGTATCAGAAAACCATTCATAAATGTTCTAGGAGTTTCAAATAAACCTCAGTGTTTACTTTTTTTTTCTTTCGCCGAGCCACGTGGCTTGTAGAAGCTTAATTCCCAGACCAGAGACTGAACCCCCGTCGTCGGCAGTGACTGTGTGGAGGCCTA